CCCCACAAAAAGAAGTCGCATGCGGACAAATCTGGGGAGCGTGGGGGCCAAGGGACATCGCCGAAACGGGAAATCACATGTTCAGGAAACATCTGTCGAATCCATTCCATTGATGCTCTCGCTGTGTGAGCTGTGGCACCGTCTTGTTGGAACCACAGCTCTCCCATGTTTACTTGTTGCCGTTGAAGTTCGGGTAACAGAAAATTTTGTAACATGTGAACATAACGTGCTGAAGTAACTGTTACTGCTCTTTCTTCCTCTTCAACAAAGTAAGGACCAACGATAGCTAATTTACTGATTCCGCACCACACAGTTAATTTTTGACTATGCAAGGGTCGTTGGTGTAGCTCTCGTGGATTTTCGGCCGCCCAATACTTACAGTTCTGCTTGTTTACATATCCTGTTAAATGGAAGTGTGCTTCGTCACTCATCATTATGACGACGTCAGGATCGTCAGCAAAAATGGCCCGCATTCTCGCACAAAATTCTCTACGCTGTGCAAAATCGCTTTCCGTTAGCTCTTGCACGATCATTATCTTGTACGGATGATATTGTAAATCGTCATGCAGAATGCGTTGTAACGACCGACGGGACATACGCAGAGTTGGAGCTTGGCGCCTAGTGGACCGTTGGGGACTATCAAGGACCGCTCTTCTCACTGTTTCGATATTGCCTGGAGTCCGCACGGTACGGGGAAGGCCAGGTGGCTTCCTCTTCATTACGGATCCAGTACTTCGAAATGCTTCAACCCATCGGAGTATTGTGTTTCGATCTGGAATTGGCCCGTGGCGTTCAACATTGAACTGTCGACGGAATAAACGTTGCACGATCACTACAGAATCATCGTTTCGAAAAAATTGCTCGACGGCAAACACACGATGCTCCGTCATCCACGGTGCCATGGCTGAAACTGCATCGCATGTGTTCTCTGCTGGCGGTGCGGCGAGGTCATATCCCTATTCTGTGCGAAATACCATTCGGTCAGAAAACATGCGTTTCCTCTGCGCCACCCTGTATTTAGGGAAATGTTTGGGACGACGAGAAACACCTTGATTCTTTAAGTAAAGTGGACCTTTAAAAAAAATAGGGATTTTCGAAGGAGGTTTCAATTTATTTTTCCTGTTAAGAATTTTGGAAGATTTCTTATAACATTGTTCAGCAAGGGCTTCTTGAAATTCTTGTTTTTGCTGAATGAAATCAGAATAACTAGTAAGAGGTTTTCGTTGACCATATAACAAGTCGAAGGGGGCATAATTAGTTAGAGAATGAATAGAGTGATTATAAATTAGAACTGTTGGAACAATAATGTCAGTAATAGGGTCTCTAGGGCGTTCTGTACGTAAAATACGACATTTTTCACCCTAAGGTGGAATGGAATCTCTCAATAGGAGCAATAGACGTGAGATTTGCAGTACTTCCTAAGTGAAGTTCGATATCATGAGTTTTACAATAAGATTGTAGGGCTTCAGAACGAAATTCTCCGGGATCAGCGTGAATCGATTGAGGGTAACCATGATGAGAAACGTAGTGTTTCAATTTACTCAATACATCGACATGATTAGCAGAGTTTAAACGATAGGCTTGAGCATACTTTGAAAAGTGATCTAAAATGGTGAGAAATTTAGTTTTCTCGATAGTAAAGACATCAATGAATAGAAGTTGAAAGGGGGCAGTAGTAAATAAGGGACCTTTAATGGGTTGACTAATAGGATGCCGTTCGTATTTATTTTTAAGACAAGTTTTGCATTTATTAATAATATCGGCGATAATGTCTCGCATTTTATTAGTGAAAAGTATAGGCTTAAAATGAGCATAAGTTTCTTGAATACCATTGTGATTAAGAAGATGGTACAAAGTGACTTTGTCAGTGAAAGTTTCTTGATCGACTAATTCTGGCTTATAGGCAGCTTTTTCCAAATGAATTTGATTTTGAGTAAAGGAACGAGAAATAACTTGAGTTAGACTTTGTAGAAAACGTGGATCTTCAAACCAGATTCCGTACTTAATTGAAGGTTTACAATGAGTGTTCAAAAATCAAAGTAAATGAGAATGAAGTTGGGAACTTGTAACTACGCATTTGTGATAATCATGGACGCTGATATCTTGATTGGATTTTCCAATGGCGAATTCAAGACGATGGGGATAAGCATAAAAGTTTTTGTCTTCCGAAATTTGAAAGAGATTTGGACATGACTCGGGACTAGTGTGTCTCGTATTAGTGGAGCGATCATCTGTTTCAGATAGAACGAGGGAATCGTCAGAGGTATTGGGAACTAGTGACTGAGAATCATTGTGATTAATTTCGATGCGACTTAAAGCGTCAGCGACATGATTTTCTTTACCTTTCTTATAGACAATATCGTAATTATATTCCTCTAATTTTATTTTCCATCTAATTAAGCGTTGATTGGGCTCTTTCAAATTTGCTAACCAAACTAAGGGTCTATGATCGGATCGTAAATTTGTGACCAAATAGGTAAGGTCGAAAGTGTTTACAGGAATCAACGATAGACAATCATTCTTTTTCAATCGTGGAATAATTTCTTTCAGTGGTATTAAGAGTTCTCGAATGAAAAGCAATGGGCTTCCATTTTGAGACAAGACAGAGCCTATAGCAATATTACTTGAATCAGTAGCGTAAAAGGTTTCGAAAAGTCGGGGTAAGACAAAATTGGGGGATTCGTAAGAATCTTTTTCATAGAATGAAAAACTTCTTGATACTCTGGCGTATCGAATGGGATTTTTTCTCCTTTCTTTAAACATTTAGTTAAAGGTTTTGTGAGAGAAGCAAAGTCTCTAATGAATTTACGGTAATAATTTGCAAGACCTAAAAATGATTGGATCTGCTTAATAGTTTTTGGCAAGGGACATTCTTCAATAGCTCGAATTTTGTCAGGGTTAGGTTTAATACCATCAGGAGTTATAATGTGTCCTAAGAATGGAAACGCAGAAAGTAAAAACTTAGTTTTATCGAGTTGAATCTTTAACTGGTTTTTAATAAGGACTTTTAATAAGGACAAATAGACAAAACAGAATTTTCCTATGAAGGGGAGCAAGACGGAATTCATCATTCGTTAAAAAGTTGCAGGGGCATTTTTTAATCCGAAAGGCATCGGAACATATTCGTAATGTCCGTTTTCGACAGGAAAAGCAGTCTTTTCGATCGAATCGGGATGCACGGGGATTTGGTGAAAACCTTGGGCTAAATCTAAAGTAGAGAAATATTTAGCTTTGACTAAATTTTCTAATATCTCGTCTGTACGAGGTAATGGATATTTGTCTTCGATCGTGATATCGTTTAATTTACGATAGTCAATAACCATACGGTATTTCTTAATACCAGAAGCTTTTATTTTTTTTGGAACTATCCATACCGGGGAACTATAAGGAGATGTGCTAGGGCGAATAACATCGTCTAAAAGTAATTTATACTTTATACTTGTTTTTTCACGAAAATAGGATCGTTGTGAGTTGTCCTAATAGAATGAGACGTGACAGTACAAGGTTCTAATTTTTCATCAGGTTTTAAGAAAGCTTTGGGATACTTGCGAGAAAGATTTATAATGAAATGTTTCTCTTCGGGATTCATATGATTAGTTCGTAAGAACATCGAAATATATGAATGAGATAGCGAAGGTTCATCAAACTCGTAGTCATTCAATGATTCTACCTGCACAGAGTTAAGGTCGACTAGCAATAAATTTTCGGGGTAAAGAATTTGTTTGTCGACAACAGGGCATATGAAGCTCGGAGTGTATTCATTCGAATTGAGATATTTCGTAGGACTTGTAATAACATAGTCTGAGACGAGGGACGTTTGTAATTTAGAAAAAGGTTCATTGGAAAGTTTTCTAGGAGAAATATCGACGTGACATAAAATTTCGAATTCATTGACGCACAATAAATTTTTTGAAATATCTAAGTTGCTTTGAATTTTTGTAGGTCTTGATAACCTAAGAGACAATCGTAATTCTTATGCCAATCTAAAAGTAAGAATAATTCGACTTCGGTGGGGATTCCTAAATGATTGAATATTGGGACTCGACATGCGTATTGACCTTTCTTCTAAATGAATTTTGAAAATTTTCTTTTTGCAACATTGGGGTTCATAAGAGAAGCAGAAGCTCCGGTATCGATTAAAATTAATAAGTCTAAGTTGGGATTGTAAATATAAGGTAAATGAGAGTTGTTATATGTATTCAAGTGTAATTCGAAGGGGGGTCTTTCGACTGGTCTTTGTCTAAAAACAGAATCGTCGTTAATTTGTTGGGATTGAGACGAAGTAGATGGTTGTTCATAGTCTTGGTAATATTGTTCATGACTTTCAGGTGGGTATTCAACATAACCTTCAGAATAATCTTGGGAATAATCATAGGGATTATAAGAAGAAGTGTCTTCTTGAATGTTCGTAAGTTCTTTAGAAATAAAGTTTGGTTTTTGTTCATTATTTGTAAAGAAAGTAGGGCGGACCATGGGACGGACGTTGATTGAAATTTGGATTATGACTCTGAATTGTAGAAGTAGACATAGGTGTGGGTCGATTTACTTGGGGTCTAGCAGCATTCTGAATTGCTGAAAATCGAGGTGAACTAAAATTCGATCTCATAGGCTGAGGGGATTTTGGAAAATTAAAATTCGGTCTCACTGGGAAACGAGGAGTAAACGATTGATTAAAGCTAGACTGGGGTCTAGGAAATAAATAATAAAAATGCTGTGGCCTAAGCGAAGTAAAATTATTTCTTGTTACAATATTGTTATTAGGATTTGATTTTGGAAACACTGGTGGTTTCGAATTTGGGAATGTTTTTTGTATTCTCGTTGTGACTGGATATTATCATATTTTTGACATAATTGTAGACATTAGGTACCTTTACACTTACACTCTTTCGCGTGGGGTTTGAACGGCGTTCCAATCGTGCGGCCAATAATGCGCTTCAAGAACGTAGCGTTCCAAGAGTGTGTTACTAGAAAAATAAAAAATTCAACGTTCCATTCGCGCAGACTTAACCGCGCGTATATAACGTAAAAGGAAAAACATGTCAGTGTAAAGTAAAAAGTGTTGGTTATCGCGCGGATTTGACCGTTCTCCAGGCGTTTTAGAAATTCTGAAAGGATTGATATAAAAAAATGTACAAAATAAAGCAGCATAAATTAAAAGTGGCTCTTTGTATGGCTGTACAAATAAATTTTATAAATAATAAAAGAAAAAGAAGCATATGGGTGAAAAAATGGATGGAGGATCGTAACAAATATGGTCACATGCCACTATTAAAAGAACTAAGACAAGATTATCCTAGTGATTTTAAAAATTATCTTCGTATGGACTTTGATACATTTAATATATTATTAGAATTGATCTCACCTATTATTTCTAAACAAAACACGAAGATGAGAGAAAGTATTAGTGCGGAGGAAAGACTAGCTGCCACATTACGCTACTTAGCGACAGGTCGCTCCTATGAAGATCTTAAATTTTCTACTGGAATATCACCATCTTCCTTATGCTACATCATACCCGAAACATGCAAAGCCATATATCAGGTTCTTAAAGAAACTTATTTGAAGGTAAGTTTATTAAAAATAAAAACATAATTATTTTTTAGCGAACAGCAAGTAGGTATATCTTAAAAATAAATGGTTTCGTAGAAAAAAAGAACAGTGAAAAGAACAACTTTAAAAAAGAAAATATTTGCTGCTAGGTAGGGGTTTTACCCATCTATATTATCTGCAGCAGTATTATAAAAATCCACTATATTTGTTGAAGAGGTCTCGATTGCTTGTTCTGTCACTGGTGGTGATGTAACCTGCCACTGTTGATCAGATTCTTGCTACGAAGGTGATAAAACCTGCCTCTGTTGATTACAGTCCTGGTCTGATGGTGATGTAAACTGCCATTGCTGACCAGAAGAATTTGATAATACCGTGTATCGACTGCAGGATGAAATTGAAGTATTTCGTGTCTCCTCTGTACCCGACAGGGTTGTAGTACATGTCAACTTTTTTAATAATCCTTGGGTCATAACTTTATTAACCAATGCTTCGGCCAAAATGGCTTGAGTGGAATCCATCCGTTTTAATTTTTCGCTCCATGAAATTCCAACTGCATCATATTCACTAATAACATTGTTTGTCATTTGCAACTGGTTTCTGCAAAATTGCATGAATTCAGCATTTTGTTTATTAAAGTTGCTCTTGACTTTTTGCCTTGTGGTCACGTTTGTAGATTTGGGTGTGGAAAGGGGTGGTTTTGATTGTGAAGCATGCGAATTCTAAAAAAAAAAATTAAAAGTATTATTTTATTCCAGTTTCCAAAAACAAAAGACGATTGGTGCCAAGTAGCATCGGATTTTAAAAATCAATGGCAGTTTATAAATTGTGGGGGAGCCCTTGACGGGAAGCATATACGCATTGTTCCGCCTCCTCATTCGGGAGCTCAATATTACAACTACAAAAACTTTTATAGCATCGTTCTACTAGCGCTTGTAAACGCAAATTATGAATTTATTTACATCGATGTTGCGAAAAATGGAAGACATTCCGATGGAGGAATTTTGGAGTACACAGAATTTTATGATAAATTGACAAAAGGTATAAAATAAAGGTCATTTTTTTATGCAAGAGGTTTTTTTTATTAAAACGATAATTTTTTCAGGTCAATTACATTTGCCGAATAATGATGAAACGGAGAAACATCTTAATTACGTTTTCTTAGGCGATGAAGCATTTTCACTGCACGAAAATTTTTTGAAACCGTATCCTCAAAGAGATCTATCATTGGAAAATAGAGTTTTTAACTACCGTTTATCCCGTGCACGCAATGTTGTTGAGAATACTTTTGATTTACTAGCTGCACGTTTTCGAGTTTTACATACAGCCATACACATTACCGATCCACAAAATATCACCTACGTGGTTTTGGCTATTTGTGCTTTGCACAATTTTCTTATAAGACGCACGACTTCTTATGCACCTCCCAGATCGTTTAATCACGAAGATTTGGCGACTCACGAATTACAAATGAGTGAATGGCGGAATAGCAGTACCGAACTTACCAGTTTACGAACAAGTACGCAAAAAAATGTAACAATAAACGCTAAAAGTAATCGCGAGAAGTACAAACAATATTTTAATTTGGAAGGAAAAGTTCCGTGGCAACTTGACATGATAAAGAAAGGAAAAGCTTAATTTATATTATTATAACTCACCTGTGTTAATAAATTTTTTTTTACGCCTGTGTCTGTGTTTTCTTGTAATTCAGTATCCTGAGATTCACTTTCATTATTATGCTCTTGTAGTATTTGGCATTCATTATTCTCTGCATGTTCTCCTGCCCCATTGTCACATCCTGCCTCTAATTCGTCCGTATCCATATTGCTTATACTAGCGGTTGGTATTTCCTGATCACTGGTAAATAACAATAGGTCGTAGTACCATAAAGTGGGTATGTAGACATCATCTGCCCCAGCTCCACTTCGCATTGATTCTGCCACCTTTTTTACTTCCTTGCGAAAAGAACCTCTGAAGCTTTGAATCTTTTTTATAACATAGTCTTTATTTGCCTCAGGAAAAATGGTTTTGCAGACCTCTACCAATTTCTCGTAAGCTTTATTTTTTTTTTAGGTTTTTATTTGTATAGTCTTTTGACCTGACCTTCCATAGACACGGATACGATTTATAAACTTCAATAAAATGCCTTATAAACTCTTTCGACCAGTACCTACTGTCTCCCATGGCACACAAAATAAGTATTTATTGAAAATATCTGTAAAAATGAATTAAAATGTAATTTACAATTTTACAATAATAAACTTTACTTACAATGTAATTATTTTATTTGTTATACCGCGTGCCAATCACTCACGCACACTCAAATTATGCACAAAAAACCTTCACGTTCTTCTCCCGCAATCAAGTCTTTACTAAAGTACGAAGTGTTTGCGCACATGCCCGACTCACATCTACATTACCGTTCTTGCGCGCACGATTGGAACGTCACGTTCAAAACCCACGCGAAAGAGTGTAAGTGTAAAGGTACCTATTGTTCTAAATTAAGAGGGTTATGCTTAGTTAGATATTCGCTGTATGGACTTCTAATACCAGTTAAAAATGAATTCAATGCTCTTCGTCGATATATCGACATAGCATAAGTAGCAACGTCACCTAGTTCAACTAAAGCATAATTATTGTTCAAATCATGAAGTTTGTTCAAAATTTCTTGGTAAAATTCAGTAATGGATTGACCCAATTTCTGAAAGCAAGCACTGAGTTCATGCAACAAATTATCTTCAACTCTACTATCTTTGAAAAATTTAACTAAAACATCTTTCAACTGAGGCCAATTTTGTGGTCTAGTTGTGCGAATAATATTAGCAGCTTCGTCTTTAACATAAGTAAGAACACATTCAAAAGCTTGACGTTCAAAGGAGGTATTTGCAAATTCTCTCAAAAAGCTTTCGGATTTTTCTAAAAATTTGGCTGTAGAGCCTCGTGAAAAATAAGGAATAGTACTTTTGAGAAAGTTGAATTTTAACTGAACATCGTGAGTGTTTTCACGATTTACTACTGGGTTATTGCTGGTTGCCATACTTACAAATGGTTCTAAGGTAATTTCAGATAAATTTTGAATATATGTGTTTTTAAAAGATCGATTCGTATTTAAATCTAGTGGCTCTAAGTCTTCGTTAGTACTAGTATGGTCAATAGATCTTGATCTGACTGTCGAGTAAGGACTACTGTCTTTTTTTACAAATCTTTTTGTAAAAGGCATCAAAATAATAGTTTTCTTAAAAGTTTTCTTAAATACTAAAGTCTTCTGAAATTATCTTCTGAACGCAATATCCTTCTTTACTTGTAAAAATTCGAACAACATTCTTTTCTTCTTGACTTCTTAATAACGGAAATTTTCTTAAATCTACTTACAAGGATGCCAGCACGAGGTGGATCCAGGGATTCATTCTTCTTACTGTTCAACGTAGTTTCGATTCCTCAATTGTAGCGGTGTATCGGCCTTCCAAGTTTCTAGCTTCTAATCTTGGTAGCGGTACAGGAACTTGTGTGGTCTTACCTGCCACTTATAACTGGACACTGGATGGCAGCTTAGGAGAATTGAAATTCTCACCTTCATTGTCTTCTTAATAGCGGATCAGCAGGCGAAAAACCAGATTAACTTTTAAAGTTTTCTTGACGGCTCACCAACTGAGTACAGCTTCTTGACGACCTTAGGCCTGGCTAATCCTGTTCGCAGCGCCAATAAAAGTTCGTTTCCAGTAAAGCTGCTTTTTTTTATTATAAAACTTCGGCCGATACAGTACAATTGTTGTAGTACAGAATGATAACTTAGAACGGTCAGAGAATTAACGAATCCTGAATGCTGGCACAGCGATGCTTATGCTAAATCTCAAACAAAGAAATATGCCAGAAAGCTCTAGAAGTAACAACTGTAAATCTTAGAAATTGATAATAGTTGGAGAGCTGTGCAAACAGTCGTTATTCGAAGAAATGACTGATAAAAGACGGTTACCTTAAGGGGATGGTCATTCTAGCGCCCTGGGTTATTTTTAAGCCAATTAGTTAGTTCTTGGTTGTAGTTAGCATTAAGAGGACCAAAAAAGCTAACATACAGTGGTTGTACCCTATGGGTACAATGTGGGAAAAAAAAAGAATTATGCCATTTTCTTTGGCATATACAAGTAAGTGCTTCTAAGCTTTTATGGCTATTGTGTCCATCCAATAACAGCAAGACTTTATTTTGCTTTGATGGTTGCATATTTCGCAAAGTGCTTCACCCATTTAAGAAATATGTCACTGTTTATGTAGTCAACGCCAAACAAAGTGGCGTGCACGTCATCAAGGTGGGTGTGTTGAAAAATTTACATTGTTGCCAAACTTTTTGTAAAATAATAAAATTTATTATTTACATATCTAGGTTTATAAGCAATATTAACCTCAAATGAGAACAAAAATAATAGTATAATAAAATTATAGATCTGTACTTGCATAATCATTAAGTATGACAATTATTGATCAGATGACACTATGAAACTACCATATTTAATTGATAGCTTAAAGGTACTGAATAAAAATCCAAATGGGGTCCTCCAAATTTTATGCATGGTATTTATTTTACAGAATTCATACAGAAAAATGCATTCTAAAATTAGGTAAGCTACTGGTGTAAGCTTTTTGTGTACAATAAAGTTAGTCGGAGTTTCTTTCTTCAGCGCTGTCTGAATCTGAATCTTCATCACTCTCAAAGTTGATTATTAAAGGTTCGATGTCTGGTCGATCAAAAATTCGTTCTCTGTCATACCATTTAAAAATTTCTTGCTCAGTATGTCGAACACTATTTTTCCACATGTCTGGGGTAACCGTTTGTAGAGCCTCGTTCCACATATCCAAACAGTCTTTTTCACTGTTACCATCTCTACCAATATGTCTGTTATAGTAACCTTTTGCTATGCCCCAAATTAACTCAATAGGGTTAAATATACAATGGTAAGGAGGCAGACGAAGAACTTTGTGCCCATGTTGTTCCGCCAATTCATCAATCACGTATATTTTAGGTGGTTTGTTTCTAAAAAAGCAGTTATTTTAAGAATAGGAATAAACAAAAGAAATATAAACTGTCGACCAAAATATATATAATTAAGAAGCATTATGTACCGAGCAACAATACTCAATAGCTCTGTTTTAAACATTGTGTTTAAAAATGGTATGTTTTGATTTGTCAACCAGTCTTGGATATTTTTTTTTGTCCATGCATTGTTGGGCACTTTGTTCAATATCATGCTGTGATAAGGGGCGTTATCCAGCATAATCATAGATGGACTCTCCAATTTTTCTAATAACTGATGTTGAAACCATTTCAAAAAATTGTCCTGGTTCATCTCTCAATGGTAATCGCTCAATTTTGTTTTCGAAGAAAATATCGCTTCACTACCCTCAATAAACCCATTTTCATTTCCAGCATGTAATATAATGTATCTAAAATATATTAGTTTTAAATTTTATAGTGCAAATTGTGTAAAAGTACATACCTTTTACCATCTGTTTTAATAGCTTTCACGCTTTTTTGGTTTCCATTTTGCCAAGAGCGACCTACGGTCCCATTTTGAAATATCCAAGTTTCATCGAGGAAGACAAACTGGTATAAGGCCTCAACCTTGGCTTGATTGTATTGCCTTAGAAATTCCACCCTTTTCAAAGCTATACTTGGTAGTTCCATTAGCCCTCGTCGCGGATTGTCCTTAAGCCACTTAAATCCAAGATCTCTAAGCAACCGCCTTAAAGACGTGGCACTACCATCAAATAATGCCCTATCTCTTAATCGAGACCATAAAGTTTGTATCGTAACTTGTTCTTCTGAAACCATGTGTAATATGACATTATAATTTAGTTAACAAATTAATGCAAATTTCTCATAAGTTATTATAATAAGATCTTACTTTTGTGATACATATTATAGATCACTTCTCGAATGGCACTTGTATCCAATGTCGCTGTGTTGGTTACACGTTTAATATAACTCCGCTTTTTCTTGGGCGATTCTAAATTTGCATCACTTTTCACACCCTCGGAAATACGACTAACTGTCCTTAAACTAATTTTTAAAGCAGCAGCAACACGCTACAAAAAATGAAATAAAATTTCACTATTATTAATATACATTACATATAATTATTAGTAACCTACCTCTTGAACAGCATTTAAAGGCAACAAAGGCCCGTTGTTGTCCCTTTCTTGCTCAAAGTAGTGCATTAACGAGGCCACGAGTTCCTTACACCGACTATTTAACTGTTTGGGCATCTTTACATACCAAAACTGCCTTTATCTACTCGTAAAATGAATAATTTTGTTTTGAAACAAACAGTTGTTGATTTACAGTATGCGGGGCCAAAGGATTTATAAAGATTTGAAATGCCACAAATTGATTCAGTGTCAAAATTAATACAAATGTCAGTTCCCAGTTTAAATAAGTTGCAAGGTGACAATGTGTCAACGCTGCGAAATCGGTTTAGTGCGTTTACATGTCGATAAGTGATTGGAGCGTTTGCAAAACATTTTATTTCGCATAATGCGTCTAAATTTATCAGAAAACAACTTATGTGATATTTTAATAACAATGTTTATATGACTATTAACCATAATAAGAGAGTAATGACCATTTTACAATTTATATATCACATTAATATGAAACTGCAATAGAGCAATTGTTTGTGATAGAAACCTAGGCATTAGGTCGGGGAATTTTTATCGTGATGACGTGCACGCCACTTTGTTTGGCGTTGACTATACCTAACCATTTTCCTGGGTAAATGCCACAGAACTACCAGGTGCTCCATCCATTAATTCAGCCTTCATATTTTTTCTTGGAAATATGAGAGCAGGAGGGAGATATGTCCCTAAAAAATAGATAACGATTTTTCATACCTAGGTACCTACTTTAAAATCATAAACTTACCTGCTGCGTTCATACAGCAAACGGCCGATAGCCTTTGGTGGCCAAAACTTTTGTATTCTTCGAAGGAACGGTGGTGATACCTGTTTCATCCATATTCCAATAATCATTCGGCAGGAATTTATGATGATCCAACACTCCAGAAAGCATTTGAAAGTATTGGTCAATTTGCACTTTGTTAAGAGCTCTAGCTCTAGCCGCAGAAGTACTCTCAGGTGATCGTAAGGATATCGTAGGATTACGGTGCCTGAAACCATTCAGCCAGGTCCACCCAGCCATTTTAGTTTGAGTAGAAAATCGATGAGAGATTAGTTTTGCTTCCGCAATTTGAAATGCCAGTTTTCGGACGTCATTCGTTGTTAGTCCAAAAAACATGGATTCCATTTTTTTGATATGTTGGACCAGTTCATTTTCTAGATTTTCTGTTTGACTTTCTTTTGTAGCGACTCATGTCTAAAAAAAACATTGTTTCAAATTAATAATTGTGTTGCTGAGATGGCATACCAAGCCATCTTATAAAACTTGTTGTATGCATCTCATAAAATTGACGGTTATTTTTAAATAATACAATTTTTACTCAAACCCATTTTAAACTAAATATTTGATAATCTAGATATAATATTCAATAAATTCTCTATCTGAAAGTTACAATAACATACCTTTAAGTTACTCCCGTGGCCCACCAAACTATCTGCGAACGACATAAAAAAATATTTTGGGTAAACAAACATGTGACTAAGGTACTTTTCGACCACTCAACGGCTACTGACCTGCTTTCGATTAACGCAATAGTTTGTTTGAGCCGGTGGCTTCAAGGGGGCGCAACAAAAGGCGCGTAATTTTAAATGTATGTACATTAAACAGCGGCTATGCCAACTCAGCAAGTATGCCATCTCAGGCACACTTCCTCTAGCATAATCAATTGTTCCTGAAGTATAGCATTCGACAAGCGCGAAAAACAAACTTTAGCGAACTAAACATGATGCTTCCAACGTTCCAACAGAGCGATCAACAGACAGCTAACCATGGACAGTTGTTTCGCGCTTCTTGGCTACTCATCAGCATAGTCTACGTTTGATCTCTCGTCTCTGGGACAGCGAAGGAAAGCATCGCAACTACCGTCTATCCAGGAGGTACGGTCTATCAAAATAAGACATCGCGAAGCGCCATCTACCAGCAGAATCGACCACGTTAGCGAAGTGCGGCGCTGTAGGTTAGGCGAATTTCAGCAAAACGGTATTTAGGTATCCCTTCAGGGGTGACGCTCACAGAGGAGTACTCAGTGCGAATTTTGTAATCGTAACTTTTGAAATAAGATTCATCAGTCCATGTAGATCTATAGATACATGATACTAGTAATAGGAAATGAATTCTGATAAAGCGTTTCGGTTCGTCGAATATAGCTTTAGCTGTCATTCTAGTATGTTAAAATGAATGGATGATTGGTAATATAACGTGGAAAATGTCATACATGCACTCGAAAGCTAAGAAAGTTTCTAAAGTAGGCAAAACGTGCCAACAAAATGATATACCTAGTACCTCTATATTTATGCCACAGTTTGTAAATATGAAATTGTTTCAATAAATACAATTATTACACATGTTTATTAGTTATTCACCTTTATCGGTAGGTACCTTGATTTCTTTCCATATGTCAGCCCTGAAAAGACGGAAATTCACCAGGGCCGTATGCTTCGTAGCATATGAAGTAGGAATTACGAGGTTGAAATCTTTTATTAAAATCCACCATTATGTTCTTTATAAAATTTCAATGTAGCTAGTGTCACTCGCACCGCTAAGACGAAGCCAACGACACCTCATATGTGAAAATCCGTCCAGCCGTTTGGCCTGTAGGTGAAAATATGCACGTTATCCATATCAACCCTCACATCACTCTCCGCGTGGCGCCATGCGCGTCGGCGGACGAAAATCGAACAGCGGAGCATACGGCCCTGACCACAGACCGATTAGTATTCTATCTGTACTATCTAAAGTACTGGAGCGTATTGTACGAGTATATGATCAAAAGATGGATATTAAAAACTACCAGTTAGTGCCATCTACTCAGTCTGTGTTTAGGTTACATCATAGCACCGTTACCACATTGACGGATGTTTGTGATGATTATCTTAGAGCAATAGATAATAGTATTGTCACAACAGCAGTTATCCTTGACCTCAGTAAAGCATTTGATTATTTACATCATGGCCTGCTGCTCAGCGAGCTGCATTATCTAAACTGTATCCATCGAAGAAACAAAGTAAAATCAAACATATACACCCGTATTGCACGTGATCAAGAACTTAACCGTAGGAGACGCTACAGGGCCGTATCAAGCTATTGTGACTGATCTATCAAAAAATGTCGTACAAGATATGTGTTGCTGTAAATTCTATCAAAAGCATAGTAAATTATCAGGAATATACCACGCCTTTCTAATCATATTTCGACATTAGGAATCAGTGCAAAAAATTCTGTATTCACCATTTCAGCAAAATGTTACTAAAACGCACACGAAAAAAACTTGTGGACCATCTCAATTGAAATTGTTCATATTTTATTATTAACTTACATATATACCCAATAATATTTACAAATCAACCTTCTATTCACAATGCAGAGCAAATTTTTTTGAGCAAATAGAAACTACAGACGTAGTAGTAGTAGTACAAAAGTTTATTACAGACTCCATAAAGTTTGTTAGTTTGATTGCTATTAAAATTTACATGAGAAATAGGAAGAAGGTCAAAATGGCACTATTATGCTTTGGAACTCCTAAATTAACCCTAATTTTGTGTAATTATAAATTTGGAATTTCCACATTAATAACTAGAAACTTACACTTTGATTGCAGTCTATAATGAACTTACCTGTCTTGCCAAAAAGCCCGTTAAACTGCCAGTCTTAATGGTATCAATCGATGTATATGCTGTATTCCGCGGAGCTTGAATCATCAGAATTGTTGATGTCAATTATAAGGCGTTCAACTTGGGTGTCAATGATATTGTCCATATCCCACATTTTGGTTTCAACCTTCTCTTGGACATGGTCATGGTCAATACATGTTCTCCATTTTGCTGGCGTAATTCTATCGACAGCAACATCAAACAGTTTTTTAAGGTCAGAAAACTTAAAAGTGCTGTTATTTGACGTGTATTGTATTGCTTGATGTCGGCCCAAATCAACTCGATAGGATTCAGTTCGCAGTGATAGGGAGGCAGCCTGAGAATCGTTTTATTTTGGTTTTTGGCCATTTCTTCAACAATTTTTAAATCATATTTATACTTATGTCGCTTGACTATATTTATCAGCTCAGCTTTGACCATTGTTTGGTCGAAGTCGATCTTCTTTGAGACAAGCCACTGTTGAATGTCTGCCTTTTTGGTGGCCATTGTTGGAATTTTTTCCAATTTTCTGGAGTGGTACGGGGCATTATCCATCACAATAATTGCGTTATCATCAAGTGTCGGCAAAATTTTTTTGAACCAATTTTCAAATGAGTTACCATCCATTTCTTCGTGATAGTCTCCAGTTTTTTTGGATTCAAATGCCCACAATGCTTCAGGAACAGATCCATCTACGCTACCTATGTGGCAAATGATCAGGCGTTTTCCCTTGCCTGAAAGTAATTAGTTATTTTACTTCTCAGCGAGCGCACTAAATGACGAAATTAAGCAACTTACTCTTTTTAGGTTAGTGTAGGATAGGGTCTTAGATTAGTTTTTGGGTGAAGGAAATACTCAGAAACTTGGATGAGATAGCAAAACTGAGTTCGGAGCTTCCAAATCATTGATTCGATCAGAAAATGAATTATCTGCATCCAAAAAAGTTCATATACTTCGAAACTTACCTGCAGGATTTTTCAATCCCGTCGAAAGGCCATCTAAAAAAGCCTGCCTTGAGGACCTCACAGATCTGTCTACCCAAACCTTTCCCTGCGTATGCCCCGCGTTCACCCATGTTTCGTCTAAATAATAAATTTTTCTTCCTTCAGTGCGGAATTGCCTAATTTTTCTAAGGTATTCTCTATTCCAGATAACAATTTCCCCCTTTTCTATCAATAAACTATTCCTTCCTCTTTTCAAAAATCGAAAGTCTAGTTCCTTCAACAGCTTATGGAACGTAGATCTTTTAAAATTTGGCAGGTCCTCATCATCATTCACTTGCTTCAATATTTTATCTATTGTAGGTATTTCATTCCTGAAGAAAAAGTGATGTACTTTTCTTCTAATCTCACTTTTGTCAAAGTCATCTATTTTTTCGATGATTTTTTTCTCGCTGGATATGTTTTTGGCTCAGATAGTGAGTGATTTTGTCTATATTCCTTCAAGATTTTGTAAACACTTGATCGACCTACTCCAGAAATTTCAGCAACCTTACATACGATATTTTCTATAGCCAATCCACTATTCTCTTGAATCTGGTTCTTGTAGATATTTAGAATAATTTGTTTTTCACCTGCGCTAAGATGAAGCTTTTTAGCCCTTTTGCTGGGTGGCGTTAAGCTGATTTCAACCACTTCATCAGCTGTATCTGTGTCAGACATTTTAGACTAATATTAAACTTCCGCAAGAAAAATCAAGTCAAGACGTGCATAAAACGTTCGCGCTCATAAACGGGTATCCGTAACTGATTACAATCCTGTGCGTGGTGACGAACCATCAACGTGACGCTGAGAGTTCCCTCTGCTATGCAGCGTTGCCAGGCTTAATGTCACAATGATCATGTTTTATTGGGAAAATTGTCAGAAATCGCCGAATGTTGAACAGAAACATTACAAGAAGTCTAACCTTGAAATGTGAGGCTACAAATCGATATTCTTATAGGGGGGAAGGGTAGGGAGCTGTTATGGTTCCTATTAACCTTGGTGAATGTTGGAAACGGTAATATCATATATGGCATACATTCGGTTGAAGGTGTGTGCACGGAAAATAGATTGCGGATAGGATTTTAATAGATAAATCTGCACAAAAAAACACAAAAGGAGATTTTTGTATTTCCCTGAAGAATATCTCAATGTTATTTCAGATGTACTCATCGAAACTTTATGGAAGGATTATCGAAACCTTATTTTCAATTGCGATAGGGCCACATACCTCGACATCGCATTAATGTGAAAAATAAGACAATAGAAAAAAATTCCCTCACTGATGCTATCTCTTAGGAAAAATTTAACTATAAAGATTGCACAAAAATTTTCACCGCGGTGATTCTAGCAACAACGGTCAGCCAGCAACAAACGATAGTCCCTCTTCTCACCAGCGGCCGCGTCGCGCTGGTCACCATCGCGCGTCGCTACAGCAGCGAAGCCGGCGCAACGTAAGCAGGCGGTGCGGCACCGTCTTCACACTATATATCACATTCCGTGGCCGGGGCAATTTAAGCCTACCAGAGGGAGCGAAAGTTACCTATACGAAACGCACATGGAAATTTGAAAATTAAAATTCTCAATT